GTTCCGGTAGAGCACTGTAGAGCAGTCTCCCAGTAGAGGGTCTACACAGCCGCTAGCTGGTTACAGCACGTGTGGGGATACCCAACTGCAACATGTTGCTTAAACTTGCAATACTTTAGTGCGTATGCACCACTAACGAATACAACTCTAGTTTCGATGATAAAAACGTCTTTACGACAGTCATAAGGCTATAGACTAAACAAAACATGATGAATGAGTACTATACTTGCGTTATCTATACGGGTTATTCTGAGGCACTGGGTGGACGGTTTCACAAAGATACTTTGAAAAGGCGCCTCAATTTTAGGAGTAACTTAGGGGGTAACTTAAGGAGTTACTTAAGGCGTAACTCAAGGCGCAATTGCCCCTATAAAACAAGCCCACTTACGTGTCAATACGCGTTTGTAATTAGCGCGCGCCCAGGCCTCACTATCACGATTGCTCACAAAAAGTAGCTAAGTGTTAACTTGCTCATCGGTTTTTTGGAAGCGATAATTCTGGTTTGTCATTCCCTTTCCTATACTCATTAACTGGTGCTCAGCTCAATATAGTATCTCATGATGTAATCAATAAAAGACTGAAATTTTCAACGGCCTGTCATGAGTGAATTGTGTAACTCCGGAACTTCTTGCTCCACCAGAGATACGTGATACATCACACCCCACTTCCTCAGTACTCAAGTCATTACCGTCAACAGATGCCATAATCAGCAGGCAGAGTAGTAGAGACATGAGGGGAAAAGGAGCAATGATCAATGGCGTGACGCCCTTCTGCTTGGTGACAGCACGCATGTTATTGCGCGGAGTCACCCATAGCAGGTTCGGTGGAAAAGTAAAGACATACAACTGATAGCATTGTCGTAGTGGCTCAGAAAGATACTGTTTATTGTCTCTTGGATCTAGGAGTGACAAATCGGTGAAATGCACGACACAACGCGGTCATTTCCGAGTTTATAACAACCACGAGTAATCGACTTACACATGCCCCCCCTGTATTCACATCCATCCGAATTAACCTCCGATGATGTCTTATTCCTTTTATAGTAATTCCTGGGTATTGTCACATACACAATGTAATGATCATAATTATTTTACACAGTTGCAGTTTTTATCCAAGTTATGGACCTTGTGAGCCGCGTGAACGTCGAGACTGCCATCAAGGCGTTCAGAGACGGCAAGATAGTAGGTGATGTTCTCATGGTGTGGTATGATGATGATGTTTATAGGTCATGGTGATGGACAGGCTCGATAGGGAAAATGAATGTGATTTCATGATCAGTGCTAAGGGATGTACCAAACAGGTAACCTCACAGTTCTTCTTTTCCTTCTTGTAGTAGTAGTATTTATTCATGTAGGATATGGCGTTTATGATCCGTTACTCGACTGGTATTGTTTGCATTGTAACTGACAAGAAAAGGTTGGACACTTTCGGGTAGTATCATCATAGTCATGGCATTCTTCCGTTATCATTATCACCAGACTACACGTTGCGACCCCTAACAATACTGATTCTAACGGTACTAACTTCCATGTAGCGACTGATCATATACCGACAACTATCACTGGAGTTAGCGCTCAAGATAGGTAAAACTGCATATAAGAATCTAGGGAATCGATTATTCTACTTGTATCAGAGTGAATACGTTGAAGGCGTTCGTAGATCTCAATAACCGTCCCGAAGATTTCAGTAAACCCGGTAAGTAGTTAACTGATTGGGTCTGAACGATAAGTTAACGATGGTACAGGTCATATGTTCCCTCTGTGTGCCAGGCCCGGCGGGCTCACCGAACGTGACGGCCACACTGAGAGCGCGTAGTACTAGTACTATGTTTATGGAATCTACTAGAATATTATGTTAGGTACGACTTGTGTCGTTTGGCTGGTCTCGATACAGTAGCAGCAATTGCTGAGATGATGAGTGATGATGGGGATATGATGAGATTAGATGACTGCAAGGCGTTCGCTAGAGACCATAACATACCATTGGTAACATCCTATGCAGGCCACTTCTAGTTATTGTTATGCGATTCGTGGTTGGGCGTGTATATATTCATTCACCGTTAAGATTACTGACTCGTATTCTCTTGGTAGAGGGAAGAAAAGGAATGCTACACACGACAAAATTCATCGAGTTTATCGGAGATATGTGGTTTACTATACCGTAATTTCGACGAATCGGAGGCCTGTGGATATTAATGGAAGAAGGAGGTTAGGAGTAAACGAATATGGAATCCAAATCTACAATGAGGAATGTTGAAGTTTATCTGAGAAGATATGTGCTGTGCACTTCGGGGATCAATTTTTCTCTTTTTGTATCAGATCACGACGGTTGCTTTGAAGGAGTATGCTACCCACCATAGCGATATATACCATAATACTCACTCAGTTCTACCTGCTACTATCGCTGACAAGGATGATAAACCTCTCATTGAGATGGTAGTAGTTTCTTATACCACACCTTCTACACTTTCAGCAAATCAGTTGTCGTCCTGCCGCGTACCACTCCATCATTTACGATACACGAGTCATTGCGATCTACGGGTTTACCGCGGTTGCTCAGATCCATCACTTGAACTTGTTACTCTTATTAAAGGCAAAGTTGAGGGAGGTGTGGTATAAAATACCTTTCATTTTTTCTGTTATTTTATCGTTCAGAATCGAATGTACCGGTACGTATACATTCTGAGTGCTTCACAGGGGACGTCCTACGCAGTATGAAGTAGGCATGAGTTCAGCTTGGCATTATTATTACAATTTACTATCTAGGTGTGATTGTGGTGATCAATTGTTGGATTTCCTGGTCACTCTAGATGAGGAAGAGAGAGCGGTATTGCTATATATAAGGGGACATGAGGGGAGAGGTACCTTTTGGTGAGGAACAGTATTGGAAATTATTGTTCACTATTTATTCGCTTTCCTCAGCTGAGCTTAGGAGTTTCCTTACTTCTCGAGGTGATAGCGTAAAACAAGAACTTAAACTTCCTCAGAGTTTTATTATTGTCGTTGATACCCGGGGCCATCTCAGTTCCGGGTAGTAATTATCAGTACTAGGATGTTATATCGAACGGCTAGTCAGCTGTGGCTTCAACACTCACCTCACTATCCAGCGTACTTTGTCGCCGTCGTCGTAGGTATTGGTCTGGCGAATAAAGTGAAAGCATATAATCTTCAAGATGAGGACGGTCTCGATACTATAGAATCAAATATCAGGCTTGGATATGCTCCAGATTGCCGCGACTTTGCAGACGCTCGACGGGTGAATAGCAGCTGTAGGGTTACGTCAGGAGGTTATAGTTCTCTTTGTGTAGGCGTTAAGACATCTTGGTATTCACAGTGTTATGCTGTATACCAATAATCCCGCTAAAGTTGCCGCGCTCGGGGACATGGTAGCAGAGGTGAAAGCGGTTCCTGCTAGGCCCAATCGTAATAATATCGGATATCTACGAACCAAACAAAGCAAGTTCCATCATCTCACTGTAAGAGAGTAATAATAGTAACTTTCTAGGAGTGATTTTGAATGGTATAGGTCCTACGATCGCCTCGATCATCGTCATCATACAGTAGTGATAGCAGCGGAGAGTTGAGTCCTGTGACTACTGCTGGGGAGGAGGGCTACTTTTATAATGAGCTTATGGACTGATTCCAGGATGGTCTAAGCATAGTTACATGTTAGAGTTATTGTTATCTCATTATTTTCACCACTACAACGTGGCTCGAGTAACCGTTTCAGTCAAGCGGAGGCTTCCTTCTGTTGTGTCTTGTTTCGGGGAGTTACGGTATGGCTTTTGGCAATTATTGGAAATACCAGGAGAGGATAGTTGACCATCCTCGGCTATATGCTCCGCATCGGTATCAGCTTTCCATATGGTTGATTGGGAGGCGCCAGGCCTTCTTGAGAATGGATCTATGTCTATTTCAACCACAGGGGGTTGTTGTAGCTCCTCGGTATAGACGCCTGTGTTAGACGATTCGTTCATGGTAAGTCTCCTCGTAAGTCGAGCC